TTTTCTTTTGTCTCATTTTTCTAATCAACTTGCTTGTTTTTCTTGTGTTACTGCAGGGGCTAGAACTTCAGTGCTGTGTTGAATAAGAGTGATGAGGAGAGTATATGTCTCTGCCTTGTTCTCAATCTTAGAGAGAACTAATTTCATTTTTCTCTATTAGGTATGATGCTAGCAGTCAGACTGTGTGTGTATGTGTGTGTGTGTGTGTGTGTGTGTGTGTGTGTGTGTGTGGTGTTTGGGATCCAACCCAGGACCTTATACATGCTAGGCAAGTGCTCTACCATTGAGCTATGTCCCAGCCCTTTTAAAAATTTTATTTTGAGACAATCTCCCTAAGTTGCTGAGGGTCTTGCTAAGTTGCTGAAGCTAGCCTCAAACTTGCGATCCTCCAGCATCAGCCTCACGAGTTGCTGGGATTACAGGCATGTGCCCCTGTGTCCAGCTCATTATTTGCAATGTTAATTATCTGCATGATTATTTGACTATTGTCTAGCTCCTTGCTAAACTAAAAGCCTATGAGAGCTAAGACAATTACTCACTACATATTCTTTGTGCTTAGGGTTGTGCCTGGCACAATAGGTGTTTATGGAATGATAGGGCGATCTCTCACCTGTGGAATAAAGTAGAAATAACTGCAGGATCTGATTCCAGCTTACCTTCTCTCAGTCTTCTGCCTTCTAGGAAGTCAAGGGGCTAGGCATTCCACACTTCCCTGAGAAAACCATGGATTTTCTGATAATTTTGTTCTGGTTTACACCGTGTCCTGATTTTATCTTTTCATTTGTGCTTCAGTTGCTTCCTCTGCCTCATCAAAGTCCAATTCAAGGCTATACCTGTCTTCCTGACTCTTTGAGAGCAGAAACTCTCCAATTTGTCCCTGGGAGCAGTACAGCCTTTGGACTCTAGGAGGCGCTCTTGGTTAAACATCTTCACCTGTTCCAGTCTGCAACCTCCTAGAGAGTAGGCAGTGCTTCTTGCCAGTAGGTACCTGGGACCCTGCCTCCTAGTTCCCAGGTCCTATGCCAAGATGACACTTGGACTTACCTTAATGAATTTGCTGGTAATTCAGTGAGTAAATGTGTCCAGTTATGTTATTGGAGGCATGAACGGGAAATGGCTGAGACTTGCTTGCCTTTCCCCCACTGGGAGTTCCCAGCTCCCTCTCCTTCCCCAGCAGTAATCAATTACTGTTCCATGCTGTCTCCATCCTCCCCTGAGCAGAACCCAACTCTCCCTTTAAACCCTCTAGAGAGGAGGCTGCTCAGCTGGTTATATTTTTGGCCACCAGCACTAGGAGGCAGCGTTGCTCTCCTCTTCATTCAGATACACCTTCTCTAGGTGTGATGGTTAATTTTAGATGAGCTAAGGGATACCCAAACAGCTGGTAGAATACTATTTCTGGGTGTGTCTGGGAGGGTGTGTCTAGAAGAGATTGTCATTTGAATCCATGGACTAAGCAAAGAAGACCAGCCCTCACCATCATCCAGTTGGATGATTGGCATTATCTAATCTGAAATAGAACAAAAAGGAAGTGAAAAGGTGAATTTGTTTCTGAGCTAGTACATCCTTCATCTCCTACCCTTGAACTTTGATGCTCCTGGATCTTGGGACTCCAGACTCAGACTAGAACTTGTACTATTACTATTCTCTGCCCTCCTTGGGACTTCAGACGCAGACTGAATTACACCACTGGCTTTCCTGGGTCTCCAGATTTCAGATGATAGGTTGTAGGGCTCCTCGGTCTTCATAATCTCATGAGCCATCACGTATCTTTGTCTATATCTTATTAGTTCTTTTTCTCTGGAGATCCCTGACTAATATACTAGGGATGCCCAGGCTATTTCTCATGACTACCTGCCTTCCAGTTGCACCCCTGACACCTCTACAATTCCATGATTCCTGGCCACCCCCTTGCCTTCATAGACAGTCTGTCCCCTGACTCAGGCCTCTTTCCACCCCATGTGTGGCTGCCATCCTGGGGGTTCCAAAGCTCACAGAAATCAGGGGTAACATGTTGGGAACCTGTGTTGTTTGGCCAGAATTATGTTTTATGAAGGCTGTAGCAGAGGAGGGACCCTGGGACCCTCCAGTCTTTTAGAGTCTTGGTTCTTTTTATATCTTGCCACTTTGCTTAAGATCCCATCCTTGTTTCAGTGCAAGCTGTGTCAATCCTTCATTCCTTTTTTTTTTTTAACTTTGAGACAGGGTCTCATTAAATTGCTAAGGCTGGCCTAGAATTTGTGATCGTCCTGCCTCAGCCTGGAGATTATAGGCATGTACCACCATGCCTAGTTAAATTGTGCCAATTATGAGTCTCACCTGCTGACCACAGCATCCCTCCTTCACCTTCCTGTTCTTTTGTTCTCCCCATAGACTCTAGGTCCTTGAGCCTGCCCTGCACTTCCCATCTTCTCCCCAGATTTCCTTTCTTCTCTCCCCATTTTTCTGCCCCTGCCTCACCAGCTCCCTCAGGTCTCTCTTCCCAGCCTTAGTTTAATCTAATCATCCATCTTCAGTGGGATCATCCTAAAAATGGGACTTGGTCAATTAATTGCTTTTCCTACATACTCCAGAAATTCTCCATGACCCACAGGACTGATGGTATTAAAGATCAAGCTCTTCTCGGGCTGAGGTTGTGGCTCAGTGGTAGAGCACTTGCCTAGCATGTGTGAGGCCCTGGGTTCGATCCTCAGAACCACATAAAACATAAATAAATAAAGACATTGTGTCCATCTACAACTAAAAAAATTAATAAATTTTTTAAAAAAGATCAAGGCCTTCTAGTAGAGTAGAAGAAAGAGAAAGTGAGGAAGTCGGGGCAGGAAGGAAAGGGAGTGGAGCGGGGAGGAATCTTGAAGTGAAATTAATTTCCATGCATCTATGAGTCAGGATAAACCCAACTACCTTAAAGATCCAATTAAAAAAAGAAAGAAAAAGAAAAACAAGGAAAAAAAGATCAAGGCCTGCTCCAGAAGGCCCTGCGTGTTCTGCCTTGTACAAGCTTCAACCAGTCTCATTCCCTTGAGTGCCCTCCAGCAGGCCAATGAGCCTTTGTGTAAAACTTCTGGATTTTAGCCATTGATGCCCCTTTCACAAACCTGCACCTGTGTAACAGCTGTCCCTCCCCACATACCCTCCTTGGCTGACTCAAGTCTTACTTTAAAACCCAGCTCTGGGTAAATATATCTTCATATCAAGGTGCAGAGCAAGGCCAAGAAGGATGCACCAGGAACAGATAAACAGTTGCTATCTCTGTGAAGGACCAAAGACAATCAGGATTGAGAAAGAGTTGGTCAAAGTGTACTTTAAACTCACCTGTGAAATTTTCTACTTTTTTTTTCCTGTTTTTTTTTTTTGAGGTGCTGTAGATGGAACCCAGGGCTGCACATAAGCTAGACAAGCACTCTACTGACCACTGAGCAACACCCCCAGCCCCTTTGATTTTTACAAGGAGATCTTATCATGTATTTATTACTTGTGAAATATAAAAGCAAATAAACTAGTTGAGTACGAGAAAGTCTTCCTTAGAGTTCCCAGGCAGATGGAGCTATTTCCTTTTCTGAGATTGAATAGCACCATTCACTATATTTTGGGAAATACTGATTTATTGAATTTGTTTGTGCCTGCCTCTCTTTCTGAGATGGGGGAACCCCTCAAAGATAGAAACTTTTCTAATGCATGGTTCCAGTGTCTAGCAAAGTGCATGATCTGAAGCAGGTGCTCAGGGAGTGCCAAATCTAGTGAAGTGCCTTTGCTAGTGGGCTCCTTCAAAAGACCTCACTATGGGGCAACCCTGTTGCTGGTCCTCAGAGGCTGATTAGATTCCTTTTCACAATGTTCATTAAAAAATATCTTTGGGAATCTGAAATGTTGTCAGTGGAGTCTCTAGACTTTTTTGGTTGTGTCCAATGAGGTCAGGGCTGCATTGGAGCCCCACAAGTAAGGATCCAGTTCAGTGCCAGACTTACCATTTGGCATGCTTCTGAAGGCATTGCTCTCAGCAGTAAATCAAAGGGCAAGGGATATATCCCCAAACATTGAACCTGTCAAGTTCAGTCCTGATCTGTATTTCTTTTTTAAAAAAAAATATTTATTTTTTAGTTGTAGTTGGACACAATACCTTTATTTATTTTTATGTGGTGCTGAGGATCGAACCCAGGGCCTTGCACATGCTAGGTGAGCAGTCTACCACTGAGCCACAACCCCAGCCCTGTATTTCTTTTATTTTCTTTTTGTAGTACTGGGGTTTGAATCCAAGGGTTATCTACCACTGAGCTATATCCTCAGCCCTTTTATTATGTTTTTAACTTTTGAAATGGAGTCTTGCTAAGTTTCTGAGGCTGACCTCAAATTTACAATTGTCCTGCCTCAGTATCTAGGATTATAGGCGAGCACCACTTTGGCCTGATCTGTATTTTTTAAATGGAGAGGCCAGCCTAAACAAACAGGCTGTCCCATACACAGTAGACTAGAGGGGACACTCAAGAATGTTCCAGGCTTAGAGGGAAGGGTTTATCTGTGCTCTGAGAAGTATAACCTGGAATCCCATCTTAATGCAACTTTCATAATTTTCCAGATAAATCTGAGCCCCCCAGGTCAAACAATTCTTCTTTGGACCTATCTGTTACACATAGGCAAAAGGGCAAAGGAATAGTCTTAATGGTCTGATTGGATTGGTGGCTTTTAGAGTTGAAATTAGTGCCATGTGGCCACAGATGTGCTGGAGGTGAGGAGTCTGCAGACATGTTTGAATTCCCTTAACCAGTCCCAATATTCCATTTGGAATAGGACAGAGTTCCTGAGGTCTTAATCCCAAGGAGAGAAGGGTGGTAGTGGTGGCAGCAGTAGGTAATGCTAACTGTACCCTCCAGCCCTTCCTGCTCCTCCCATCTCATCCAGCTCCATCCCAGTTGTATACCCCACCTTGGCCCTCGGAATTGCTGAAAGCACATCAGAATACGTGGCACACCCTTAGACCTCTAAGAAGTACAATTCAGTCAGCCTATCTCTTTGCAAGTAAGTTTATTTTTATTTACATCACAATTGGTGGCTTTATTCCTCCATCATTTGAGATATTGACATCAGCAGCCGGAGGGAAAGTCCGCAGTGAAGTCAAACTCGTTCTGCCCCAGCCACAGCTCAGGAAGCTCATTGGCCCGGTCCAGTCCCAGTTCCACCACCAGTGACATCAGCACCTCCTCATCCACTGGGTCAGAATCAATGATAGTAGGGCTCTGGGAACCAGCAGAAGGAGAAACTGATCCTGTCCCTCCTCCCTGAGCCCCAAAGCCCCAGTTTTGCAGAGACCCTGCCTCCCCGGGTTGGCCTGGAGTGGCGGCAGCCATCCCATGATACTGGCTATTAAGTTTCTGCAGCTGCATACTAGCCAGCAGGTGAGGGGCAGGGTGCAGGTTGAAGGGTGGGGGCTTAGTGGGAGGGCTAGCAGTAGGAGACCCTATTGGTGATGTAGATCCAGAGGAGCTAGTGGGAGCCCCACTGGCCTTGGTTCCATTTGAGGCTACCCCAGGGTAGTGCAGAATGGCCACTGCTTTGCGATCTTTCACCCCCAGGTTAGAGTAGGCCAGAGAGTTCACCTCCTGGTTGGTATCCTAGAAGACAGAGAAAGGCATACCATAGTACCCCATGTTCCTGGCTTGTTCCTCATTATTCGTCAGACCCAGAAGGCTCCCACATGCACTTCATATGGGGCTAGAAATGAGGCGGTATCAAGAGGACTCTTTGGTAAGTTAGGCTCTGAGCTCAAGTATCCTTTTGTTTCCATGGCTCTGGAGCATTGAGCTCAGATCTCAGTTCTAACACTGGGGCACCCACCCACCATCCTAAGTGGGTTGAATGTTTTCATCTCCTTCCCGGGATGCTCCACCTCCCAATTTAAGTCATTACCTTGTCCCTCTTCTCTGCTTCACTTTAATCTCTTTAAACCAGTGGTCTTGTTCCAATTCTTCTTTTCTGTTCCTTCCTTGCCATCTTTTAACACCCCCCATGGGTTCAAGTTGATATTTAGGCAAACGCAATTCTCATTCTCCCCAGAGAAGTCCTGCTGCGTCCTGTCTGCTCAAGGACACTAGATACTATACCTAGGAAGGCCTGGCATATGACCTCACAAACAATTCATTTTTTCCATGCCTCAGTGTCTCTACCTGTAAAATGGCAAAACTTACCTCCTTTGCAGGGGAGGTGCCACCCTTGACATCAAGTGCAGGCCTCGACATAGTTGGCATTTCAGTGTCTTGGCAGAAGTGGGATTGATCAGTGGGAGGCGGTGATGCCAGCTGGAGCTGTTGTGCTGTAAGTGAGAGAAGAAAATGATAAATACAAGAAGCTTTGCTGACTAAGAAAGCACTAGCAAAACCTAAACAGCATAACTCTACATAGCTACAAGGTTATGGTGACAGGTTTAAACCCAAGACCAGAGACTGCCTAGGCAGAGAGGAGACCAAGCTAGAATTTTTGCCTGAGGCTGGAAAGGTGCTTGACTAAGCCAGGTACTGCCCAGGAGGCCAACTACCCGCATCACCAAGATGTAACACGTTTTCTCATGCAAGTAATCTCAGAGTCCCAAGTTGGGGCTATGGGTTAGGAATGTCACTGTCCCTGGTTCTGAGGAGCAGGAATGTCCCTGAGTAAGTAGCATGTTGTGACAATAGACCAATAGCATCCAGGCTGGAGAGCTTAGGCCTCCACTGAGTCTGGAAGAATGTGGGAAGAATTCAGGGCAAGGACGATCTTGAAAGTTGTGGAGGCTGCAGCACAAATAAGAACAAATTCCCAAAGCAAGTGTCACAGGGCTCCAAAGCTCTGCATGTCTGTGAGAAAACCAGCCCATGAGGGTGGTCTGTGGAGTCTCAGAAGCAGCTGGAGCCAGAAAGCTGAAAGCCTAGAAATCTTTGTTTTCTCCATGTTTCAAGTCCCTTCCAATATAGCAATGGGCTTTCCCAGGACGCTTGTCCCAAAACCCTGAACTCAGCCACACAATCTATATGTGAGAATAATTCATCCTGAAGGGAAACTGAAGCTCGGAGATTCAGTGGCTTTCCAGTCAGGAAGCAGTGGTTCTGGGATCAGGATCTAGCACTCCTATCTATGTCCACATGGCTCACTTGACCACTGGCTAAGTCCTCATACCTGGAATGACTCAGATGGCTTCAGAAAAATTGTCTCTCTGGCTCAAATGCCAAAAAGATAAAAGGATGAGGGCAAAAGAATATCATCAAACCAGAAAATTTTAAAACTTGGGAAAATTTAAGTTGTTTTCCTAGACCCTTAGTTTTAAGAAAAAAAATCCCATGTATTCTACTCTTCATGATCAATCAGAGATATAGAATTTCATATGTATAAATGCCGCTCAGTCCAAAAAATCTTGAGGACCTTTGGAAAAGAGTTCTAATCTTTCCAAAGAGGCTAGAATTCTCCCCACTCTAACCCTTCCCACCCTAGATCTGAATAATCATCAGGAAATCTGTTCCGACACTTTAAAGTGTCGGCTTTACTGCCTCACGGTATCATCTTCGCACTAACAGTGCGGGGTGAGGCGTGCGGGGAGGGGGGTGTGAGAAGAAAATAGAGAAAGGGGAAAAATAAAAACAAAATACGAGGGAAAAAAATCAGTTGCTGGGTCCCATACCACTGCTTTGCTCCTTCTCTGAGGCAGCCCTAGAATATTTCAAACCAGTGACCACAAGACAACGAGACTTTAACGCGTGCGGTCTTCAAGAGTCCTTCATTATTAGGCAATATTCATGTCGAAAGAAAAATTCTGGGGATCCCTGCCCCTATTTTCCCCTTCCCACTCCTATGCTGCCCGCCCGTTACCTGGATGAAAAAACAGCAGCGACAATAACACAAAAAGAGGGAGAGAGATGGGGGGTGGGGTGGGGAAGAAAACAAGAAAAAAAGTAAATCTGTTCTGGTATCAGTTCTCCGGGAAGACCACTTTGCCATGTCTCCCCCTTCAGGCTGGGAGCTCCCCTAGGCGGGGACCCTGTCTGTATTCAGATCTGTCGCTTCAGCTCACCCGGCCACCCGCTCCAGCCCCCCGGCTTGTGTCTGTACTCCGTAGACGCTCAGCAAGCTTTTCTGAATCGTCTCAAGCAAGAGGCAGTTGCATTTCAACCTGGTCCTGCTTCCCCGCTTTTCTGTCCTACCCCTTCACTCCTCAGCCCATTGGAAGGCAAAACCTGGCAGCGTGAAAATGTTCCATTTCGCTTTCCCAAGCCGCGAGCCGACCACGGCGAAACGGCTGCTAGAAGCGGCTGGGAAACCCAGAGCAACAAGTGCCTCCTCGCCCGCTGGAGCCTCACGGCCCCGACCACAGTTCCCGGTCCCGCCGTCCGCCCACAGGTTCAGACAGTCCCTTGAGAGAGCAATCCCCTCCCGCTTAGATGAGGTGGAAAGGGAGCAGAGAAAGAGAGAAGGGAAAGGAAGGTAGGGGGGCGTCGCCTTTAACCTGTTGGGGGCCCAAAAGTTAAAATGGCACCAACCGGATGGCTCCATCTCGATTGCTATTTTCTCACTCAGGAGAAATTTAAAAATCCAAAGAGCACTGCGGCTTGACTTGGACGCGTTCTAACAAGACCGGTCAGTTTCGCCACCTGAAAACTAAAGGCCGGATGTTTGTGGACAGCGCGGCTGCTCGGCTCCCCGTATCCCAGATGGAGCCACCCGAACTCTGGGCGGCCAGGCGCGTACCTGCCCCGTGGCGCGAGCAGCTAGACCACTAGGGCTTGGAGCGTCTGCTCCCCAAAGTGCTGTATCAGGAATTGATCCTAGAGACAGCATGGACCAGCGGGGAGGGGAGCGGGGTCTCAGCCTCAGAGGCGAGTTTAGGAGCCCCGCGGTGTTTCCGCACGCGGGGGCGCACTCTGGCGCCGGCAGCAGCCGCCACTCCTGCGCCTCACCAACACTTACCGAGCGCCCGCTGAGTACCCGACGCGACTGAGGCTGAGCCTACCCCCAGCCAAGCCACCCGCGGTCAGTGCTATAAGCCCGCTAAGAAAAGAGTGGGAGAGGTTCGGAGAGGTGCGGTAACTTGCCCAAGGTCACAGCGCTAGAAAGTGGAGAAGCGGGGATTCGCAGTCAGGTCGATCTGACTCCAAGTCCAGCGCTCCTCAACGCAGGGACTCCGAGCGCTGCCGGGCCGCCCCCGTTTATAGGGAGAGGGGTGTGTGCGTGCGTGCGTGCGTGTGTGTGTGTGTGGGCGTGTGTATGTGTGTGTAAGAGAGAGAGAGAGACAGAGAGACAGAGACAGAGGGAGCGCGCGCGCGAGCGAGCTGAGGTAGACTGGGTAGTGGAAGCAAGTTGCCCAAATTCGCTAACTTCCAACCCGCAATTCTGAAGAACTCGGCCCGAAAAGCCCCTCTCGCCTCCAGCCCCTGAAGGAAGCCTGAGCTTTGTGCAGACCCTGAGCTGGATCGTCCAGATGCGGTCCGGACGATTAGCAAAGTCGGTGGAAGCCCAGACGGAGAAAGCGCGGGCGCGGGGAGAAAAGGTGCTGCGGTCTCCTCAAGAGAAGCGAGCGCTGGGTCCGGCTGGCCGGCCGGCGGGCGCGCAGGCGAGCCAACCCGCGCGCTGGCTGACTGGCGGGCGACGGCGGCGGCGGCGGCCCCTCTGCCCCTAACAGAGCAGCTTTCAAACAGAAAACAAGTCCCCAGAACCTTCTGGCCCGCCGGCCACCGCCCGCTCCTCAAGCCGCTCCGCGGGAGTCCTCGTCTCCACAGCCCAGCCCAGCGTCCTACCCGGCGGCCCGGCTTACCTTCGCAAAGCTGCCTGCCCTGGAGAGAGGAAAGCGCGGAGCTCTGAGAGACGCGGGCGAAACGGAGGAGCCCCCAGCCTCTTGGCACGCACGCACGCCGCCGCCGCCGCCGCGAGCCGGTCGTGCTCAGCGCCAGCAGCCGCGCCGGTGGCCACCCGACCCCAGGGCGCCTGGGAAAAGCCCGCACCGCCGCGCCGCCGCACCGCACCGTGCCGCGCCAAGCAGCCCCGGCCCGCGCCCGTGCCCGCCCGCCCGCAGCTTCGGCGCCGGACTCCGGGGCGGTGGCGGTGGCGGCCACCGCGTTCCCTTCCCGGCGCGGGGGACCCGGCTCTCAAGCCCCCATTGCCGCCCGGAGAGCCCTGACGCACACGCACACGGCAGCAAGCTGGCTTCGGCTAGGAATCCCAGAAGGACAGACCCCCTTTTTTTTTCTCCCCCCAATTTCCACGTCTTTATAACCGGCTTAGGGCATTATTAGCACATGTCCTGGCTCGTGGGCGAGTTGGTGGCAAAATCTGAACTGGATACTCACGGAGGGCCCGAGCGGGTGCTGTGCCTTCCCCGGCGCTCTTCCTCTTCGCCGGGAACAGCCCCTCACCGACAGGCTGTGGGAGGGCAGCCGGGCGGAGCGAACCTCCTTTCCGCAGCTCAGCGGTGCCCCTTCTGCAGTTGTGCCGCCGGGAACATTTTATAGCGGTGGCTGCCGTGTGTGGCCCTTTAAAGGCGCTCGAGCTGGTGCAGTCACCGCGGATCGTGTGAAAGCGAAGGGCCGGCTGGGGAACTGAGTACGCGCGGCCCCGCCAGTCCAGTAGACTTGGGGACTGGCCACAGCTCCCGAGGTGGGGCTGGCGGGGCCAGGCTATGGGCACCCCTCGCCCGATGCCCCTTTCAGTGCCTGCGCTCCTAAAGCTGGCGGGGCCCTGGGCCCGGGACGTGAGCTCTCCCCACGGCCCTGCATGGACTTGCCCAATAAATTCCACTTAGTAATTTCACTGAGGCGAAGGAGAGCTGTTAGTGTCTGTTTTCTGACCTAAATCTAGCGGGTGGCCAGAGGGGTCTTCAGGGAGCTCCGGGGAAAACGGTGGGCTCAGAGGAAGAGCCAGAGGAGGGGGATGCACACGGGACGGGGTGGGACACGGTCTTGGTTTTCTTCAGGGCTTTCTCGGAGCCTTCGGTCCTCTTTGGGCAGCACCATCTCCCTCATTGAAGGGCTGACGCTGGCAGCGCGCGGAGGGGGGGGGGTGTCCTGTACCCTTAAAGTCGTCACATTCTAGGCAGAGACACTTGGGGAGCCTATATGGCAGTGGTGGCTTCCCTTGAAGGCCCGAACTGGGGTTGGGTTCAAGGGTTTCTGTTTTGTGGCCATCCAAGGCAGGAGGAGGCTGACAGGATAGGACGCTGAGAAAGGCTGCTTTGCTGGACCTTGGGACCAGGTGAAAGCCAAGAACAGGCAGTAGGGTTCGAAAAGCTTGCTCCAGGGTTCGCAGAGATTTCCTCCCGCCTTCCCACGATGGCAGGTTATTTTATTATGATTATATAACCTTTCCCATCTAGAAAGAATAACATTTTTGCATTTGGAGCATATTTTTCATGGGTTGGGATGTAAACTTACAAATTCTTATTGGAAAGAAACCTAGGTCTTCTCTCTCATTTTAATTCATGTTCCCTGTGGCCAAAAAACTCCCACCTCACCTCTTACAGGAAGGCCACCAGGATTACTCCTCCAGCTCTCCCCCCCCCCCCCCCACTTTGCAACAACTACTCAGTTTACACTGTTTCTAAAACATGCTCTTAAAAAAAAGTCCTGCTGTTAAGGAAAGGGGGGAGGAATGTCAAGAAGTCATTTTTGCCATGTATGTGTTCTGTCTTCTTAATTGGATTTGAAGACTTCAAGGTCTTTTTTTTTTCTTTAGTATCCCCAAGTGCCCTGCATTTTGCTCCTCTTAACAAAGTTCTGTTTGTTGATGAACTGACCAGCTTACTGACCTAAAGATGGGGAGTAAATGGAGGGGCAAATCAAGGCCCTCCTTTGGCATCTGGAGGAAGCTGGGGCCAGTGCCCTTGATGTCAGGCAAACCCATTCCGCTGCTCTGAAAGCTGCCTAGCATGCCTCCACCAGCCCCCACTCCACCCCAACACAAACCCTGGTGACAAGGACACCCCTCATGTAATTTCTGCATTTGCCCAAAGATTGTGGGTCATGCCCAGTTTCCTTTTGATAAAAGGCAGGATCTGTGGGAACCCTAAAGTCCTATTGAGTTTGCCTGTGAGATACACCCTGATACTCTCTTGGTGTTTGCCTGGGGCGGAAAGAAACATTTTTGTGGAAACCAAGTAATGGAGAAGGAGCAGCCTTAGGCTTTTGAATTGTGTGTTGCTAATTCGACCCCTGACCTACCCTCCCCCTTTACTCTGACACCCGAGCTAGGCTGGAGACTCAGCAGCAGGCTCCAGATCCAGGAGGTGCGGATCCACCCTCCATCTATTGGATGGCTCCCAGGCCAATTGTTAGAAAGAGGCATATGTTCATCTCGGCTTCTGGAGTGTCTCCGGAGCAGTTGCTCAACAGCCAGCCCCTTCCCCCATCCGGACCATTGAAGGGCAGAAAAAGGAGCGCCCTCCACCACACTTCTCTGTGCGCACAAGACAGAAAGGGCCTTCCCACTGGTGACTTCTTGTCATCTCCACTCTCTACCTCCTGGGGAGCAGGAAAGAGAGGGACCTTAAGCACTCAGCTTTGGAGCACAAAAGCCCACCCCTTTCTTTTTTGGGGAGATGGGCAAGGAGGTTAGTTGCAGAGGCTGAGGGAGCTTAAGAGACATTTGCAATTCTTGGCAAATATGCCCTGGATCACTGACTTCCCATTCGGCTCCAGCCGAGCTCAGAGCTCTCCACTGAACTCTTATCTCCAACTTGGCAACTTGATCTGGAGCTTACGAAGAAAGGAGAGAACAGGGATGGTCACCCGGCAAGAACCTTCTGTGTGCCAGCAGTGGGCCTGGCATGTTCCCATCCATCATCTCATTTAATTCCCAGGACAGCCCTGTGAGGTTGGGTTACTAAAGGTGAAACAGTCTCTGGAGAAGTGCCTGAGTTCATACAGCCAGGAGGCTGGGTGTTTGAATGTGGGTCAGGCTGGCTGCAAAGTCTTTACACATCCTACTGCCTGGGAAGGCAAGAAGGGGGTCCAGAATGTAGTTTCAGAGGTTTGTGACCTGGATTTAAAATCCCTACTCTGCCTTTTGCTAGCTGTGTGGTCCTAGGTCAAGTAGCTCCATTTTGAGAGCCTCAGTTTTCCCATCCATTAAATGGGGATCACAATGGTGCCTACTCTGTGAGGTTGTTATAAAGAGTAGAAGAAAAGGCATAGCCTGGTTGGTGCCAACTGTGTAGTAAATGGCCAATAAATGCTGGTATTGTACTGTGCCTTCTGATTCTTTTCCTTTTTGGCCCCTGTCCCTGCCTCAGCTCACACACTTCAGGTTCAATAATACTTGCTGACTGAGTAATTTAAAAATCAGACTGAGAAGGGATGAAGGAGGTCTAATAAACTCAGGAAAGGGAGGGAAAGGAAAATGCAAATTTGTTTGCAAAATCCCACCCTCCAGAACCAAGGGCTCCTTGGGTCATATGATAGGAGTAAATTCAGGGCCAATACAAGATGGTCACATTTTACAGATAAGCCCATAAAGAAACGTAGACTGAATATGTGTAGAAAAGTTAAAAAGTACAAGTTTTTGCTCAAAATTTGGAGCAAAATTTTTTTATAAGAGGGATAAATGGAAAGCAGACTAAAGGTCCACAGTGAGGGAGTATCTCTTAGCACCATGGTATCCCCTCCCCCCCAAAAAAACCCCCAAAACAACAACAAAAAACCTCCCAAACCAACCCAAAAACCCAACTTTTATTCATGAGAAAGTGTTCACAACAAAATATTAAATAAAAATTCTGGGTACAAAGTTACATAAATATGATGCCAAATTGCAAAGGGCACAAAGGGTACAAAATTTAATACTCACTATGCTTCCAAACACGTATGAATATGTATATAAGGCAATGGTCAGAAAAAAAAGATAACAGTGCCAGTCAGGGGTAGGGTTATGAATGATTTTTTTCTCTCTATTCTCCATGATATATGATATGCTTATAAGTAAATATAAGTTTATAGTTAATAGACTGCCTAAACAGTATGCTCCCACTTTTGTAAAAATTATATGTGCATAGAAAAAATGCTGGAAGCAAATATACAAAATGTTAACAGTGATTATAATTGAGTAGTGGGATTATGGGTGATATTTTTCTCTTCATTTAAAAATTTTTCTGCAATGTGTTTACATTGTTTTCTTACAATTAGAACAGATTCATAACTTG